CACTGCATGACCCATTGGTAGAAATGAATGGCTAGTAAATTGTCAGTGTTTCCATTAATCGCATCTCATCACGTTCAACATCCTGCTTTTTCTCCTCTTGCATTAATCAGGGTGCTCATCTGTTACCATTCAGCAAACGGCATTAGGATTTCACTGTGAGGGGCTGTTTTATTAGACGTTGACTTGTCACATGTTTAAACTCTGATCAAAAAAAAAAAATCTGAGGTTTCTGAAGAACTGGAACTGCTGCGTTTCCATTGAAGTGTTTTTCCCTCTTAATTATTCGCAAATGGAACTCTTGGGGTGTTTGCAAAATGTGCTGTAAAAGGTAAATATTGTATTTGAATGCAACGTCCAGACGCAGGCGGGTGTCACGCTAGGCAGGCTTCTCAGCACGCCTGTGCTTTTCCTTTCCACCTCTCAGAGTCCCGGTGGCACACGGAGTAACCTCCACACACAAAGCACTCTAAACTCCAAGTATCCACATGTGCACTCTCGCACACACACACACTCAGACGGCTGCTTTGCAGTCCCATTTCGTTTTGTGGGAACTTTTACACGTTGTCCCGCACAACACTATCTTTAAAATCTTTAACCAAACTCTTGTGCTAATGGCTAAATTAGCACAGAAAGCTTCAAGGCTTTTACCCACAATGGGACATTTTATAAAAGGTCATAGCTCACAGCTTCACAAATGTCTCAAAGGAAAGCTTGAGAAGAGTAAGTAACACACTCGATTGCTTTCTGGCAGAGATGAACAGATTGTATGGCTAAATTAATACCCCAGCGACTTCAGCTTAACTCTGTCCAGTAAAATAAAGGTCTGCAAACCAGCAGTTCAAAGGTTCATCAATTATAACGTAAGACTGTAAAATATTAATAATATGAATAATGATATGGTTTAGTTGTATAAACCGTACAAAAGCTCTATTTTGGCCTCTGCTTTTAAGCTACATTTCCTGGCATTAAGCTCTTTTATGCTTCAAAAAGCATATACGAATATTTAATTCTGAACTTTCAATTTCCCAGTTCAAAATCATGTAATGTGAGTGCTTTGAACTGAGTTTTGACCCTAAAATGAATACAAATTTTTAATAAGTACCATCCCTTATTATAACATTGTTATAATGGCAACATATGTAGTAAATGGTATTGGTCTAACTCCTGAATTTCTATCACGACAGTTTCTAAGGAAAACCAAATGGTGAAAGACATCTCTGGCAGCAGCCACGAGGTGAAAGGCCAAAATAAACGCAGAGCTGGACCTAGTTGGAGTCGCAAAAAGTGGACAGTATTGGCCTGACGAGGGCATTGGGGGGGATTTGTTCCTCTGTGTTTGTCTAGGCTATAGGAAAATCTAACTTTATCACACCTCATCTGCTGGAACATCCCGCTCAATACCCGGTGTATTTTGGGCTTATTTGGCAGATATTTTTATCAGGAGCGCTGGCAGTGCTAGGCTGGGCAAACTGAACAAGAATGTGAAGAACATTGAGGACATCGATTCACGTGGACATATGAATTGAAGCAGTGACGGGGAGGTAATTTTATGTGATGGGTGCTGATGAAGGCAATGCAAAGTATTTGGAATTTTGAGATGGAGGGACGCTCTAGTAACTGGAAGTGAGGAATGGGGATTATCACGGCACAGCGCAGAGCCTTCTCCTGGGCTTTAGTGAACACTACATCAGGGATAGTTGGAAGAGGAACAGTTTAAAATATCAAATCAATAACCAAATTATAAGGTGTAAATATCACCGTTTATATCATAGCTTACTAGAAAATGTGGATTTTTCAAGTCCATCATGAAATGATAAGAACTCTGAGAAGGTGTGTTTAACCAGGCTGCTTTACCCTAAATGCTAACATTTCCATACTAACAATGGCAATAGATGCTAGAATTAGCATGAAACTGAAGGAGATAAGAATTATATTTATATAGCGAGTACTGGGGTGAAAAAAGAAGAAAAAGATTTGTGTATGATGATAGTGGACACATTCGAATAATTTGCTTGCCCAAACACGTGTGGTAGACAAAGAGAGTACATCAGTGTTGTTGAATTTTAGCCGACTGACCTGTGAGACCAAAACTTCAAAAATGACAATCATAGTAAGCATTCAAAGTAATAACCTACAGCACAGTAAAGTATATTAAGTCATTATTAAGTATTAGGTATAGTAACTGTTGAAGTACAGCGCAAGTCCTTCTACAAACGAGGTAGTTTTTTTTAAAGTTTTTAATTAAACTAATGTTTTCTTTCAGTTTTTACCAGGTCGGAGTTGCTACCTGGATAGAATCACTTGTCAAATCTTATTAAAACTGCTAAAAAGTTATTCTGACTTTACCCCAAAATAAGGTGATAAAAAGCTGTTGCCACTTTGCTGTTGCAGAATTATCTCAAAGATTCTTTGAGCACCATGTTTCTCCGTTGATGTTTCTGGCATATTATTATATTTTTAAAAAAAATGCCCACTTGGTTATGTTCCAGGTCATTACTAAAGTGCTGTACATCGTGTACAATTAAACGTTACTGTTTGCTGATTTCAGTGGAAATACCCTTTCTGATGTTTCCAGTGTTTCCACATCTGCGATGGAGTCCATCTGAGGGGCATGTGTTTCCATCAGTCAAGGCCACAGCAAACGGGTCGCTCTCTATTGCATAATTTTCACCCTCTACTTAAGCAGTTTGGGAAATGTAAAAGCCCTGCTACATTTTTCAGAGGTGATCCTTACGAATTACATCATTGGCTCCCAGGACAGATTTTGTTGGGGTCTCAGATAACAAGATGACTATTGTACTTTTAGTTTATTTATTTATTTATATTTTAACTTTTTACAGTCAGCACATGATTGCAACAAACTATAAAGCTTTTAGTGTAACTTTGCTTTGCTTCATTTCCCTCCTAAACTAGGACTTTCCCAGACAAAGCAAGATATTTAAAGATGTCACATTGGTCTCTGAGAAAATATTAGGAGTAAACTCCACTTTTATTTCCCATTTCACAGACAAGACAAGCTTTAGAAAAAGCAGTGCGCAGAAAATTGATAATGAAAATGATGATTAGTTGCAGCCTGAGCTGGCAGTGATGCTAGAGGAAACACTGTCTTTGCAAAATGAAAACAAGTGAGTGAATGTTGGCTTTTAGCAGTATTCTTGTCATTGATGATACCATCATCAGTGGCGGTTTAGCACTGTAAATTAATACAAGATACACACAGAAGCACATTTTAGAGGTCAAAGCAGAAAGTGAAAAAAATTATGTGAGGAAATATGAGCCTGTTATTGATTGTTAAAACATTTCTTATCACCAAAGAGCATCTCTGGTGTCTGCAGTACATTTGTGCCATGCAGTGGTCTCACATACAGGACCCTAACCTGAAAGCTGTCAGTACCTTGGTAGCTCAAACCCTCCTCAGACGTTGGTGTCAAGATTATTTCTTTCTTCTTCCTATCTCGAAAAGTCCTACAGCTGATTTACCAGAGCAAAATAAAATAAACTATGGACAAAGGCACACTCGATGTGGTATACATATAGCCTAGTCAGCAAACAGAGATCCAGCCATAAAGGTGATTTCCAAATATTCCAGTGCAGATGTGATTATTTTAAGACAGAGTGTAAAAAACAAATATTACATTAAAACTGATTAGCATGAACTTTTAATATAAAACCAAGAGAGGTTTTCACTCGTGTTTTGAAATGTTCTGTTTATATTATTTGTATAGTTTCAGGTTATAAAGGTGGCTTAACTGAGTCGTTTTAAATAAAACCTACTAAACTGGGGTCATATTATTTCACAATTAATCTTGTAATTGTTAAATGCATCTCCATGAAAAATGAAAATATCAGTGTTCTTTTTCATATGTTTTAAGGCTTTACAATAACAAATAGTCAAATACAAGTGACACAGACAACTGCAGATCACAGTAATGCTATAACAGACAAAAACGATACCTTGAAAATGAAAGAATAACTACTTAACAACATAGACAGTCTCAGGATCCCCTGGGTGCACTTTGGAATATTCATGCTATTATAATGATTTTTCCTCGGGGTTAGGAACACTTTACATTCACAGTGCTTGGAAGAAAAAAACCAAAAACAGCAGGATTACTTTCACAGACGCGTTTTGAACGCCTACTTACAGCGTCTCCGTGCTCGCTGGGAACCTGGGGAGAATATCAATGTCAAAGCAGGAGATAGTGAGAGTCTTCCACTCGGAGCACTCGCAGACGGCAGGGCAGGAGTCAGCCTCAGATGCAGTGCTGATAGGGAGGGTGACGAGCGTAAACAATGCGCACGTTATCACCTGCATGCTGAAGTGCTGCTGCACACTGGCAAGTGTTGGGTTTCGATGGTAGTCCCCCTGAAGTCCACAGCCACAAAGAAATCTACCAGTTTGAGTCAAGCTGTCCCTAATAGCCTGTGCTGTTTGCTGTTTTTCATGAATAATCCTTAGAGTGACCAAGTGGAGCTGCACTGCACTGTTGTGCACAGTTTGCTTTACCGGGCCACAGGAGTTTTCTGTGAAGCTGGGGATGCTGTAGGACGGGCAGCTGCGGCTCTGGTGGGTTTGGAGGTTCTCTTCAGCTGCTGGAGGGGAGGGTGAAATTATTGAGACAGTCTGGTGTTGTGCAGAATGTAGTCCACCCCCTTCTTGACTAGGATTTGCAGGAATTTTAAAAGTTTTGCTAATAGATAAACTACATTTTTACACAACTTTTTTGTTCGTTGTAATTATGTTATAAGCACATAATAATAATAATAATAATAATAATAATAATAATGCTATTTATTATTATTATTATTACTATTATTATTTTAATACAACTTAAAGTATAATGTATACGTTTTTAACACAATTCTTTTTTTAATACCACCTTGTGGTTTTCAGTATGCACATGGACAAAATTTTCTTTTTTCCCCTTTTCTATCCTCGAGGGCGGCAGTACTGGCGCAAAAAACACACCTTTGGACAATGTAGTTCTCAAATAATCAATTCCCACACTGCTCCATGATGGGCAGCCTACACTTCCCAGCGTTCCTCAGAGTTGCTCTGGTCCGTTTGTTTTGCTGCTCAGACGCGGCTAGTTCAACTTGCCACAGCGCGGAGAAGCTGAGGGTTGTTCTTCTGATGGCTGTCTTCCGCATAGCGTGAATTCAACCTCTTCTCTTTAATTAGCATCTAACGGTCGCTTGTATTCCATGTGATTCTGCTTTGTAGTTTTTGTTTTGTAGTCTTATCGCAAGGTTAAATTCATTGGCTAACGTTTAGTTAGCTAGCTGGCTAACGTTTACAGGAGTTTCCACTTGTTGCTAGCCAGGAGGAGCATCGCCCACAACAATGCCAGGATACCCTTGGTTCTCGTGGTTTCCTTGACAGATATCTGTTTCCTTATGTGTGGTCAAAACAATGGTGACACGGCTCCCATGTGTTGTGACAGAGTTATCAATTGTAAAAAAGAAAAGAAAAAAGTTCATAGGCATCCCATTTTCGTTCTTAATCTGATTAACGGTGCACTTAACAGCGTTTTCCGCTGATGAAAGTAGTGCTGCGCCATACTTTGCGAAGTCAGCCGTTTACGGTGTCCGCTCCTCGTCTCAAAGTATGGATATATCCAGCGACTCTGACTCATACGACAGGACCCCGGACCACCGGTCACGGCGGCGCGAAGCCCACCGCAGACCTGGCCGGGACAGGGCGAGAGGCAACGGGAGAGAAATCGACGGGCGAACCGTAGACATCTCCGAGAAAATCAGCACTCTTGCAAACACCTTACAGGTACTTTGCGCAGGTTTGCGTCAAAAGACATGCTATGTGGATCTGTTCAGGGTCCACCTGCAAGCATTCACCTGTGTTTGTCCCCAACCATACGACCAAGTCAGGTGTTGGGAGATAACAAATCACTTAGGTATAAGTTTCATCTCATCATGGGCTGGGAACACACTGAACAATGGTCTGTTGGCCTTTTTTCGGCAAATTTTCAGTATCAGACTCTTTAGTTACTGCATTTAAATGATGTTTATACACTTTTTAAATGTAGGGTTTTCCATCAGTTTATGGTTCAATTGTTATTATGGAAAAGAAAAGAAAAATCAATTGCCGTGTGAGAAGGTAGCATAATGCAGTGATGCTCTTCCTTGTGTTTGTCTGATTCAGAGTGCTCCTGTTTTTGTGTCTCTTCTTTGGAGAATTAACCTGCTTAAATGGCATGCATTCCCTATTTACATGAGTAATAAATGGATACCAGTCAAACTTGCCACAAAAGATTTAGTGTTGGTATAAATTCATAATTAACATTCATAGTTTGGGAATGAAAAAATAACCACTGGTGTCAGAGACATCCTTTTGTCTTTCATGTGCTTTTTTCCACCTGTGGTTTCCGGCTAATGAAAGCACCTGTATATATAATAAAATGAATGGATGGATGGATAGCTCTGTATCCATAGCCTGTTTTGAATCCTTAACACATTTCAGCAGTCTTTAACTGGAAGTGTCTTAATGGCAGGACACCAGCAGGAACTTGACCAAAGTAGACAAGATGCTGGGTCAGTACAGGGAGCACACAGACGACCAGGCTGAAGCCATGGCACTGGTGAGATGCCTGTTCTCTTAGATGTCTTCTATTTTATTTTATTGCTGTACTACATATGTTAAGGCTGTTTTATTCTGCTTTATTTAGCTATTTTACGTTATAGAGCCATTTAGGTTTTTTTCTTGAGTTTACACTTGAAGTTAGTTTCATTTTTTAAAATTATTTATTTAGAATTTGATGATCGATGTCCTTTTTTTCCTTATTTAGTTTGTTTTGTTGTCTTTTATTTAAGCTGTTTTGCTGTATGTTTTATGTTAAGGCTACTATAATACAAGAATTTCCCAAAGTTTGTGATAAATAAAGCACATCTTAATTCTAGCAGTTTCACCCACTAATTTATGCCTTTTTATTCAGGTTTTTTTAAGTGAATGACACTCCCAATTTTTTGCCAACTATATGTTTATTAGATCAGTTTCTGCTGACAGCATTATACATCAGTATACATAAGGCAATCAACAAGGACAAACTGTATGGAAAAGAAGGAAAAGCCCCCAGAAAAATAGAAAAATGGGGAGTGACTTCTTAGGGGTCAGTTTGCCAGTTGAACCCATTTATCATACACAGCTGCATGGGGCCTTTGGTAGCAACACTAAGCAGTCAGAGATGGCTGGTTAGAGATGGATCATCAGATGCTGACAGTGAGGTCAAATCCATTCTCTCTAAGTATGTTAAGAAAGGGCCCCAAATACGACACTCCCATTTATGCTTAAAAACAACAACAAAAACGTCTCTCTGCCTCCTTCTAAGTCATTTATACTTTTTCATGCATCAGCTTAGGGAGAACCTAGAGGAGTCAATCAGCCAGCTGCAGACACAGAGGCGATCCAACGGGGTTCGGAGCTCCTCAGCCTCCACCCTGCATACCAGCGACCTGGAAGCTTCCTCAGGATCAGGTATGAAAAAAATGACCAGTAGAACCAGTGATCGAGTTTTGTTTAGTAAGTCTTTTTCAGAGTATGAAAGTGTTCTACTTCCTGCTATATGTTTATATTGTTTGTTAGTTTGCAAAGCAAACCTCTGATAAAATGTATGCTTGTGATTTCAGAAGGCCAGCGTTTCTACCCCACTTCTCCACTTAAGGATTACACGAGCCCTCCAGGAAGGAGGAGGAGGTCTCAATCTGCCAATGTTCGCTTCAAGGAAACAAGCCTGGAAGGAGACAGTGTAAGGAACAACAGACCAGCTAGTGCTTCATTCACGTTCAGCATATTGCCACTAGAGGGCATATTGGGTAGATCCACATAGAGTATGTTGTATAGTCCAAAAAAGTTACTTTTCACTGGCCACAGTGGAAAATGTCATGGGGTCAAGGAAAGGTGTGAAGGAGACTTGATAAGTAAAGAGGAGGATAGTGTACGCTAGACTCCTTTACAGTGTCACAGCGGATGTCTGCTGTATTGAAAAGTACAACATCCACAACATAGATTAGAAAATGCACAACTTACTCCACCTCAGCATGTTCTTACCAGCTGAACAACAGTGGAACTTAAAGGCACTTTGATCAGTTAATACAGCTCATAATCTGAAATTAGAAAGTTTTTATAAATCTGCGTTCTTCTAACAATGCAAAAGCTCAACAAGAAGCCAATTTTATTGTAGTCATGTAAGAGTTAAACTGTGGTTGTTGCTGTGTGATAAAAATTAAAAACATAGGATCAGGTTGTGGACATGGATGTCATGTTTAATACATGAGCTGTGCTATCTTGTCAGATTTGTTGATCATTTTCAGTCGCTATAGATTATGGGAATGACCTCCTACTTTCCTAAAGAATGGTGTAATGTATCCTCTGCTGATGGAGGTAAAGGAAGCTTTGAAGCACTTTTATTCAGTTTTTGTAGAATTTGTGCAGCTCTTACTGTGACTGCCAAAACAATACTTCTGGGTCATTTAACTTAATTAGAAACCTCCTAAGCAAAATTGGCTGTTCAATTACAACCCATAAGTGCAGTATCGGGTTCTGTGGATGTGTCTCTGCTGCTGCCGTCTTGGTCAGGGATTCTGACTGTGGCTACTGACGTTTTCCTGACAGACTTTTTTGCTGCTATTTAATTTTTTGAATGAAAGAAAGCATCAGGTGATATGCTGATTTATCATCTCCTATTTGAATAAACCTCTTTCATTTGATACATAACAATAGGTTATCTGCTGAACTTGATAAGCGGTTAAGAGGATGGATAGAGAGATGGATAGTTATGATAATCCAGTAACCTAAATCCAGTATTTCAGGGGATTAGTCTGACACTAAATGAGGCTAACAAAAATTAGAAAAATAGATGAACATTTGAATCTCATGAATATTTTTCATAGTGTAGGAGAAAGCTGGTTATTATTTGTCAGTCGGCTATGTCACTTTTATGTGTTATCGTCTTAACTAGTCCTTAATTAATCTGTATGTGTGTTAAATCTCTTTAATGCAGGGCTCGCAAAATTTTAAAATCCCTGGTAGCCCTTCGGGCAGACACTCTTTAGTTTTTGGTAGCCCGAAATAAATTTGAGTAGCCCGAATAAAAAAAGATTATTTTTATTGTATAATATTGTAAAGGAAACAAAACATCAATCAAAAAATTGTTAAAACACAAATTACAACAACTGTGTAAACATTACAATCAACTCAAATATCTGGTTCTAATTAAACAGAATTTTCTGTGAACTTGTTAGAACTGTGTAGAACATGAATTAGTCTGTGTCAGATCCTGAATCTGAAATTTCCACTGAAGTCTCGGATGAGAAAATGCCACTCGACGTTGAGGGCATAGCATCTCCTTCATCAGCTTTCTCTTCCTGTGCATTGCCCTCCATTTCACTGCTCTTTGTTCTTGTCGGGGTTTTATGATCCAGGTGTCTTGAACCTTTTCCAGAAAACATCCAGAAACGAATCGACTTGTCAGGGCAAAAAGATTCAACTGTTTCCCCATTAATGGAGAGTTGCATGCAGTCATTCAGTGTTTCAGGGTGTAGAGAGGTACGATGTGTTGTCTTCACTCGGTTCATGCAAGAAAATCCTCTCTCACAGATGGCTGTCGATGGACTAAGTGTCAGCATTAATTTCACCAGCAACAAGATATGAGAGAGATGTTCTGGATTCTCAGAGAGGAGATCTCTGTACAAGCAATCTACTTTGCGACCCCGGCGTTCTGCAAGCCACACTTTTAGATCCATCCATTCTTGTGGAATTTTCTCTTTCTCTTCTGCATCTAGCAAACAGGCAAAATGTGTGACAAGATAATCCACCTCTTCATCCCCATAATTTGCTAGTTCTTCTCTGGGGTAGGGAAGAGTGGAAGGGTCAAAAACCTTGAAACAAGAGAGAGGCTTTTCATGGAGATTTTTAAATCTGTTGTCCATGTACTTGACTGTGTTGTCAATAATCTTCTGGATCTCTGCACCAAAGGTGTCTTTGTCTGTTCCCTCACCTCTTCTAGCAGGTCGCTGACTTTTTGTTAGCTGAGTTCCACAGTAGCAAATGCTACCATCCTGGTTCGCTGTGAACTTTGTGTCCAAGGTTTTCAGATATTCTCCTGGTTTTGTTTTTAGGCTGAGTAAGCGTGATGTTGTGCTCTCAACTAACTGATTTGTTCGTGTGATGTTTAGGTTATCATGCTGAAAATCAGTAGAGCACTTGGATAAGATAAGATAACCTTTATTAGTCCCACACGTGGGAAATTTGTTTTGTCACAGCAGGAAGTGGACAGTGCAAAAGTTATGAGGCAAAAATTAGAATACAATAAGAATAAATACAGTACACAACTGTACAGAATAGAATAAAATAAAATACTATATACAGTAGAATAAAATAAAATAAATATACAATAAGATAAAAATAGAATACAAATACAAATACTATATACAACTGAGTAAAAATACAACGATGACAGAAAGGATTATTGCACTTAGTATTATTGCACATGTATGGATGTGTGTGCTTGATCAGTTAAAGTCTTTATTATGGAGTCTGACAGCAGTGGGGAGGAAAGACCTGCGAAATCTCTCCGTCCCACACCGTGGGTGCCGCAGTCTCCCACTGAAGGAGCTGCTCAGTGCTGTCACAGTCTGCTGCATGGGGTGGGAGATGTTGTCCATCAGGGATGACAGCTTAGCCGCCGTTCTCCTGTCACTCACCACCTCCACTGGGTCCAGAGGGCATCCTAGAACAGAGCTGGCCCTTCGGATCACCCTGTTCAGTCTCTTCCTGTCCCCAGCAGAGATGCTGCCGCCCCAGCAGACCACACCATAAAAGATAGCAGAAGCCACCACAGAGTCATAGAAGGTCTTCAGGAGTGGGCCCTCCACTCCAAACGACCTGAGTCTCCGCAGCAGGTACAGCCTGCTCTGCCCTTTCCTGTAGAGGGCGTCTGAGTTATGAGTCCAGTCCAGTCTGTTGTTCAGATGAACACCAAGGTACCTGTAGCTGTCCACAGCCTCAATGTCCATACCTTGGATGTTCAGTGGTTGCAGTGGAGAATGCTTGTGCCTGCGGAAGTCTACCACCAGTTCCTTGGTTTTACTGGCGTTGATCTGGAGGTAGTTCAGCTGGCACCAGTCCACAAAGTCTTGGGTCAGACCTCTGTACTCCTTGTCGTCCCCATCAGTGATGAGGCCGACTATTGCAGAGTCATCAGAGAACTTCTGCAGGAAGCACTGGGTGGAATTGTGGGAGAAGTCTGCAGTGTAGATGGTGAAGAGGAACGGAGCCAGAACCGTTCCCTGTGGGGCCCCCGTACTGCAGACGACCCTGTCCGACACACAGCCCTGAGTCCTCACATACTGTGGTCGGTCGGTGAGGTAGTCCAGGATCCAGGTAGTGAGGTGATGCTCCACTCCAGAGTTCACCAGCTTGTCCTTTAGAACCGAGGGAAGAATGGTGTTGAAGGCACTGGAGAAATCAAAGAACATGATTCTCACAGTGCTTCCAGCGGTCTCCAGGTGAGCGAGGGAACGATGTAGGAGGTGAATGACGGCATCATCCGCTCCAATGCCAGGCTGGTAGGCAAACTGAAGTGGGTCCAGTGATGAGCTTATTAGGCGCCGAAGCTGAGCCAGGACCAACCGCTCCAGGGTCTTCATCAGGTGGGATGTCAGAGCCACCGGCCTGTAGCTGTTGAGGTCCTTGGGGTGTGAAGTCTTTGGCACTGGTACAACACAGGAGGTTTTCCAGAGCTGTGGAACTCTTCCCAACCTCAAGATGGTACTGTAGTCCAACATGAAATGCAGGAAGCGAACAAATTTCTCAGTCTTCATCTCCTGCACCACCCCCTTAGCCTTGGCTGCATCCTCGGCTTTGACATCACTTCCTTCTGCCATGTTCTCCATATGAACAACAGTGGGAGTGTAATTTTTTTCCACAGCCTTTAGACATCTCAGCCGGCTTGGAAGCCACCGCGTGCTCTTCAGCCCACTGAAATGTGCCAGCCTCTCATTTAGCAGTTCACTTATTTCTGTCAGCTCTCTTCGCTTCTTTGGGGAATAGTAGTACATCTTAAAGATGGTTTTCAGTGTATCTTCAAATTTCACCAGGTACTCACAGCCTTTCACGCTATCCAGCACGGCTAGCTCTAGTTTGTGTGCCACACAGTGGATTGTTATGATGTGGGGTATCCTCTGTTTCAGTCTCCCAGCTACTCCTGTTTTCTCACCCATCATCACTGCAGCACCATCAAAATTTGCACACACTACTTTCTTTTTCCATGTGTCCTCTCTGATACCCATGGTGTTCACTGCTTCATCAATAGCCTCTAAAATACCTGCAGCATTTGCACTCTTGACTGGCTGACATTTGATCATGTATGTGGCTATGTCACCATTATCCCTCACATACCTGACGTGAACCAACTCCTGTTCTATTATACCAGTGTCTGTACTGCCATCTGCAAGAATGGATAAGAACCTGCTTTCTTGAATTTCCTTTTCAATCTGGTGTCTTGAAGTTTGTGCTATTGCTCCAATAAACTCTCTGCAAGCATGGTCATTGAGGTAAGTGGAACCAAGATCTAGGCCATTTGCTTTCTGAAGTTTGCAAAGACTGCTAAATTTTGCCAGTGGTAGTTCACTCTTTGCAACATAGTACGCAGTTCTAAACAGCTTTTTCAGGACTTCTTGTTGTGCTTTGTTTATTTTTAGTATGGTTTTTGCAATTGGTGTTTGTTCTGGGACAGATGCTGCAGACTGAGCACCAATGCATTTCTTGTGATGCAGAGATTTCTCATGAGTTCTGATGGGGTCTTTCCTAAAATTACTGGTCCCAGTAACAAAGGCGCTTGTCGACTCAGCAATAGAGGGAAACTCACGACACACCCGGCAGAACATCATGTTATTTACCTTGTCATATTCCAGCCACAGAAATTCTTTTGTCCATGAATCCAAAAAACTGCGCTTTCTTTTTGCCTCGTAATCTGATTTATCATAACTTTTCCGCTTTGTGGTAGGCCTTTCTTTGCCTGTCCCTTCTTCATCCTGACCTGTCTTTTTTGGCTCAGCAGAACTAAAATACCTGCGTAAATCCATCTGTCTTTACACATGCCAGAGATTTTTTTTTTTTTTAATTCTCTGCGCAGTCAACCTCTAGCACGTTTAAGCTTGCTGCGGGAGATTTCACGTGCCACGTTTGAAGAGTAAGCTAGTGAGTGATGTTGTGTCCTGTCTGACTATACCATATTGCACCACTAGAGGGTGGTGTCGTGAAATAAGAGGAAAGTGCAGTCGGGAAATTGTAGAGTTAGAATATAGTTAAGACGGCTATCTGATAACTCGATATGTCTCCCTGTTACCTCTACGATGTAAAGTTATGTGCTGCATTCATTAAAGAGCACTGTTCTTTGATGAGGACTCAGCTAATTACTCAGCTACATTTGCGAAAGAAAGCAAAGGCATTGTCATATATTTTTACTTCCTATGATAGCCCGACGGGCAGGGCTGAGATAGATTTTGGTAGCCCGACTGGAAATATCACTAGCCCCGGGACGTCGGGCTAGCGATTTTGCGAGCCCTGTAATGACACTGATGGGACATGGAGGTTGAGGCAGAGTTCAGACAGACTGTCCTGTTTGTTGAGTCCCAACTGAGAAAGTTAAGAGACGATTATCAACAGCAGAACTGAAGATAAGAGAGTAAATAACTCATCTACAGCTCTTATTCCAAGTCAGAGTTTCACAGAATCAGACTGTAAATTTATTTAAGTGATGGGAGTAATCACATTAGTTTGATGGCCCAACAACACAAAAAGGAGCCGGAGGATTGGATTACTCTTTTTAAACATTATATCATTGAACTGTTTATGATTACTAATGGTAAATGGACTGGTTCTTATATACGCTTTTCTAGTCTAGCTGACCACTTAAAGTGCTTTACACAATTTGCCTAAAAAAACACTTTTTTCTAGTGCTTCTATCTAACACTCACACACAGTTACACTCTGATGGATGCATCGGAGAGAGATTTGGGGTTAATATCTTGCCCAAGGCATGCAGACTGGAGCAGATTGAACCGCTCACCTTACTGGTCTATCACCTGAGCTACTGTTCATATAAGATGAGGATTATGGTGTAAACTTACCTCTGCATCCTGTATAATAAATATAGTTCTAGTATTTGTAACAAACCAAAATGCCTCCTGAAACTTTCATTGTCAGGAGGCACAGCTCTCTGAACCAATATGGCATCTGTGTGGTTGCATGTTTTCACTGGACAGCAGCAATCACCTGTAAATAAGACATTTATTACGCCACCTTTGGCCTAACGTGTCAGTTCAGTTGAATTTAAGTCTTTTTATAGCACCAAATAACAACAACAGTTAGCTCAAGGCACTTTATATTGTAAGGTAAGGATTGTAGAATAATAGAGAGAAAACCCGAACTATAGCACAGTCCCCTATGAGCAAACACTTGGCAGTGGGAAGGAAAAACTCCCTGTTAACAGGAAGAAATCTCTGGTGGGACTGGACGAGCAGGGAGGGGCGGCCATCTGCCGCAACCTTCTGGGGGTTGAGGGGAAAACGGGATAAAGGAAACAGTACTGGGCAGAGCCAGAGATTAATAATGACTAATGATGAAATGCAGAGACATGAGTGACAAAGAAATACTGAGTGCATCATGGGAAACACCCAGCAGTCTAGGAGGGCTCAGGGTCACCTGATCCCGCACTAACAACTGTACATGCTTCATCAGAAAGGAAAGTTTTAAGCCTAATCTTAAAAGTAGAGACGGTGTCTGTGTCCCGAATCCAAACTGGTTCCACATGACCTCTTCTAACATGGTGATATGAGGTACTTAATATAAGATGGGGCCTGATTATTAAGATCTTGTATGTGTAGAGAAGGATTTTAAATTCACTGGCAGCCAATGAAGAGTCGCCAGTATGGGAGAAATATGCTGTGTTTCTAGCCCCTGTCAGCGAGAGTGCGCTCACTGCAGCATTTTCCATCAACATCATTTTATTCACATGGGTTTTCATTTGTGTTAGTTTTTCCCTTTCAGATATCTGTAGTGTGTTTTCACGATGCAGCGATGTGGAGCGCCGCTCAGCCGTGCCCTGCTCGTGTCTCGCGTTTTGTATTCAGCGTGGGTTTGTGGCTGTCTCACACAGATTCATACCCTGCACCAGTCCATGAGGGATCTGCGTTGTGACCAGCAGAGACTGTCTGATGACCTGGATAGAGAAATCCTCCGGAGGAACCGGTATCTGAAGTCTGAACATAAAAGCTCATACCTTCTCACACAACACATTCACAATTGAATTTGACAGCTATTGTTTTTATGTTACTGCAAAAGTCATTTTATGGCCAAATCTCCAATAATGGTTTGTTGTTGTCAAGTAGCATAATTAAACCGTTAGCCAGAGCAGCACTGGTGCTAGTTTCTCTTTGCCAAATTAGAAAAGCTGCAGAGTCGTTCAGACACACTAAATACGATTATTCTCATTTGTATTCAGTCTGACTGCATTGACCTCTGAAAAAAACGCTCATTACAATAGGTTGTTTTTTGAAAAATAAATGTGGCTTAGTAACAGCAGACGGCTCTCTTACAGTTTATTAAATTGAAGAGCGATACGTTTCCAAGAGCATTACTATGTATGTCGCACTGTTTTGGTAAGCCACAATGAATGCAAGCAGGCTTTTATAGTCTCTTCTTCTTCACTTCTGCCCACAGAGTCATCAGTTTAAGTTCTCAGCTCTGGGAAGACAGTGTTGGAATATTGATCTTTTACTTTTCATATGCACCGAACATAAAAAAAGTTTTTTGCTTGGGGTTTGCAAACAGAAGCACGGTTTCCATCTCTGTGAAGTCTCCTTAATGAAAAGGTGATAAAAGTGTCACAGGGAACTTAAAGAGACGGCGCCGCGCAGTCAAAACGGATTAGAATTTGACATTTTGAAGTTATTAAAAATCACTCCTACCCAGCGCCGCTGACCAGCAAATTGATCCAGCGTCGTATTTCAGCATCCGAAGCTGCATAATTATTTTTTAGTGCTGTCAAATAATGCATTTATGGGTCCTGGAATAGTATTTCCAGTGTTTTGCAGTGTAAATATTTTCAGCCAGCTTGATTTGTCTGTTTTTGTTTTTTCCCTTCTTTTGTAGGGCTGATATTGACACCAGGCGGGCGATGGAAAGCCTCACAGAGCACATGACAGCTTCCCTGAGACAGGACTCAGTGAGTTGTGGCTGTGTATTTCATTGCCAGTACTTCAAGTGTGCTTTCTGGCTCTGTGAATGTGTAAAGAAAAGCGGAGGCATCCAGAATTTAAGGCCATCGCATCACAAATTTTGATGGATGAAAGCTGCTGTATAAAGCATGGAATATGCAAATAGCTGGAGTTTCTGGAATAGAAAATGGCAAAAGACAAATGGCTTCCTCTTTTTTTTTTAAAGTAGGCTCATAGTGCTCCAACTTTAGCAAATATTTCCCTTTAATTTCCAGGCACACAGCTTGTTACTGCACCATCAGTACTGTGACAAATACACAGCCCCACATGACGCCCAATATGTTTCATATTTTTTATCTCATCCTGTCTGTGGGCGTGACAAGATAAAGCTTTTTACAGGTGGATATGATGCTTCCTGATTAGGCAGGGAGGCGCTGCAACGCGAATGTAATACACTCAGTCAGTTATGAAAGATATTTTTATCATCCACACTTTTAATTTCCTGTTTTCTCATCTATCGCACGCTGATGCCATTCCTGCGCCGGCGCGAATGTTCGCGTGACCCGAGGAGCGCTCATTCTCTCTCTCGCCGTCTGTAGGTGTCGTCTCGTGTGGAGCGGCGTCTGCAGGAGCTGGAGAGAGAGATGCACGGCGAACAGAGGAGCACGGGCGGAGAGAGGAGGCCGGAGCAGCGGGCGGCCGCGTCTGACGAGCCGCAGGAGGTGACACCACTCCTCGCCACTCACCTCCCACACCTGGCTCTTATCGCTAGGGGCAAGATGGAGGCACATGAATTCAGTGGAACGATTTAACTATAACTAATGACCACATTCATTTATTAGAGACAACACTTAAAAGCGCCAAGTGAATATTAAAGTTATGACTGGCATCCGTGTTACCTGGTGATCAGCAAAGTTGATCTTAATCACAAATATATCTATAATTCATCCAAGATTTTAAAAATGCAAATTCTACAATAGATTATACAGCAACATAGAGTTCCTGTAGTAATACAAGCCTCGTGCAAATGTGATTATATATTTATTCGTGTTCCTTCTGCCGTTGCATAAGAATGTGTTGGTCCGTGTTTCCCACAGATGTGTGTCATGAAATGAGGCGCACACACTTTCAGAATGGAATTATTACCAAAATAATACGTTTCTCTGGCAGATATCTAATTGGACAAACACTTGTGGAAAATAAATGAATAATAATAAACACAATGAGCTGCTTCTCAGTCCAGCTTTTCATCAATCATTGCAGTTTAGAAGGGATAACGACAGCGATCATTCTGCTCCATGTTTTGGGGAAGCATTTGCATTAATATGGAGGACAGCAACAAGCACAACCTGGCCCCGAGCCAGCCAGCAGGCGAACAAGAGATGGAAAGGGTCGGAGCAAAGGACCTACTTTCTTTACCAAATAAGAGCGAGGGGATTGTCCGGTGTTAAATCGCTGGTGTTTTTGTCTAAGACTGTCTAAGACCTCTGTCAGTGCGCCCCAGGGTGGCTGTGGCTACAATGTAGCTGCCATCACCAGTGTGTGAATGTGTGCGTGAATGGGTGGATGACTGGATATGTGAAGCGCTTTGGGGTCCTTAGGGACTAGTAAAGCGCTATATAAATACAGGCCATTTAAGACTGATACAAAAGTGCTGAAAGGAGTGTGTGCCAAATGTGTTTGGATTACCAATAATACACCTCAGCAGCTTACCCAGGTAAAGTCTGTGAATGGGAAACTGCTTTAGAAAACTTTGGATGGCATTTTAGGCGCAAATAAAGAAGAGTTTGTTTTGCTGCGCAGCATAAAGAAAACAAGCTCAAATTTATCAGAAGAGTGAACACTCAATGAAAATATAATAGATGTTTTGAGGTTTACTGGACAATCAGATTTATTATGTACAGACGGGCTCATCAGCAGTTTCACCTTTAACCAAAATAGTCTTTGAGATCAGTTGGAAAGGTTACACGTTCAAATCTCTCTTTAGTCCTTCTTTGTCACATATGCAGAAATTTGGCTGATGAAAGCATGTCAGTAGCACCTTCCACAAAACAGCGCGGGGCTTTCAGGCAGTCTTTTGTTACACTGGGACTTTCCCAACATAATAACGCTGCCATCTGTGGTACAGAGATATTACAGTGAAAGTATAGTGGACCGTAGAAACAAAAACAGGTTGTCTGTTCAGAATTTGTGGGAAGTCAAAATAAGCATACTTGGTGGGATTAGTGAGCTTCTACAGGTTTAGATACAAGGATGGTTATTCTCCCTCACAAATACAGTTACAGAGCAGGGAAACATCGAGGTTTCTAGTGGCTTTCATGCTTACTGTACCTTCAATAACAGATTCTATAAGGTTCTTAAAGCTCGTTTTGCTTTATGAGACTATAAAACACACTAAGTAATTGCGTTGTTATAGTGCAGATGGTTGCTAAGCAAGAAATTGATGCTTTCTTATATTTAATGCCAATCACGATCGTTGTCAAGACGTGATTTGTCTAAAAGCACAAGTGGCTGTGAAAGCGCTGTCATTAGGTGCACTTTAGTGATGTAGCTTGATGCGCATTATCTTGTGTTATTACTCATTTCTATTGCTACTTTACATTTAACCACACAAACCCTCCACATTATAGATCATCAGCATAATGCCGCTTAATGATATTTCTTGGTTCATCTGTATCTTCTCCCAATCTGTCACGTCTGTTGTATTTTACCGGTGAACCACAGAGGGGCGCTGTGTATCCAGACTGATAACCTGTGTGAGCAAGAGTTTTTCAACACGCTATGTAGTGATGGTAGCTACCAATTCATTTGCATCCCTCTCCTCTGTCGTGCCCTAATGGGACACCAGCGGGGCCCAGGGCGATGGGAAATAATGCATTTGCCCAAAAATTAAGGGTAAATAAACAAGCATGAGGAAATGAAGAGGAAAATAATCTCTTTCACTACTAAAGAGCAGGAGAGGAGGGAGAGCAGAGGGCACATTTATTCCCCACCGATGGGCCCGCTGTGATGTGAATCAAATAGATGATGAGTCACTTGGGTAGATGTTATTGCTAGCAGCCGGTAATTCATCACCACAGCCCGCTTAGAGTGAGTGGGATGGAGTGGGATCTAAGCTCTTGTACAAATCCACCATGGTGCCAGTATCTCGTTCCAAGAAAAAGGCGATGATGATGGGGGGAGGGCAGGGGATACTGTGATGCAATAGCACTTCTCATGTGTCATCTTTATAGTGTCTCACAATAATACACGGTGTTTCCTGCATGGAATTTTGTTTGTGTGTTTTAGACTTTAGGGAGATGCCAAATTGGAGCCAGTGAAAGAGCGGAGAAGATGGCAGCCAGGCTGCTCAAAGCAGACAGGGAGAAATCCAAGGTAAAGAAACTGAGTGTTAAAGGAGCGTTTTTGCATTAGAGAAAATTTGGGATGATCTAAACGCCTTCGAGAATCTTGGTTTCAGTTTTTGCCGTACTGCTTCAACGATCGTTTTAAATAAGGCATGCAGAGACTTTATTATTGCATTGTAGCTGAAAATGACATTGAAACTTTCTATTTAATGTTACGGTTTTCATAATTGCAGTAATACAAATTATAATGTTTACTTTTTATTTACTGATATAGAAAACTTAATTGTGGCTCAAAATGTGAAGGCTATGATTTGTACTTATTTGACAGATTGTTCATTTTCTTCTTATTTGGGAATTTTTGTTGAACAGATATGTCTATTATTTTCCAGGCAAGGAAAGTTAAGTTTAAAACATTGAATTTGTTTTGATGATTTTTGTTTCGTTCTGCTGTAAGTTTCTGGATTAAACCCTGATACTGTTCAAATTCTGAAACACCTGTTCATGTAAATTGTTTTTGCTTCGCTGTCCTCAGATGGGGCAGGAACTAGAGAGAGCCAGAAGACTGCTGGAACAGTCAGAAGATAGCAGAGAGTCCCTCGTTCAACAGGTTTGTTTGTCCTCTGCCTGATTGTATGTAAACCAGTAAAGCTCATGAGACAAAACAGTAAGATGAGAAGAGACTTTTTGGAAATCTTCAGTGTTGTTCTGCCTGCTGTCAGACAGTCGGATGTCTTTTTTCTGCGTTTTCTTACACGGCTGATGATCCCCAGGTGGAGGACATGCGCTGCGAGCTGCAAAGGACAAGGGAGGAGAAGACGGGGCATGAGAGGGCACGGCTGGAGACTTCTCGGCCCAGTGCTCAGCCACATGGCAGCTATGCTGACAAGGATGGTGGAAGAGGTGGGCTGCAAGGGCCAGGTATTTGGTTGTCAGGGGAGAAGAGAGTGTATGGATGCAAGTTAAATGGATGGTTTTAAAGATTGCTGTGCCAGTGGAAATGGATGCTAAGATTTTGTTTTTTAGGATGACAACTTTCGGGTTTTAAATGTACAGAGTTGTGAAATGAAACACCGACAGCTCTGTTTCCTTCTTTTGCTCAATACTCGGGGTGTTCAGTAAAACACAGCAAAACAGCACAGTTACAAGCGAGCAGCAGAAATGAAACGCAGAGAAGGTGACGCAAGACAACAGAGCAAAACAAAAAATGCAGCCTGCTCACTGTGAAAACTTGAGTGTGGACTTACATTCATTCACAATGTGTTCACAAGATATACTGAAATTTTTAAATCGTGGGATGATTTATCTGTCACGTGGATGCTCGTTTTAAACATTTTCAAATAATAACATCATTGTGTGTAGCTCATCTCTACCAGCCAAAATCTTGGGCTTCCAGTCGATCTATACTTAACTAGGCTTTTTTTACTCATGATGGCTCTGCTGTTGTTTTTAGGGGGGGCTGCGAATCAGAAGAAAGAGGAGCTAAAGCCTCAGTCACACAGGCCTAGAGGGCGGTCAGTGACCACAGGAGCAGGGTCCTATCACTATCAACAACCGTGTACTCCCTGAATGTCTGGAAAGGGGTTGCAGGCTGTTGCCAGGGGAAATCAGTTGTTGTGCAAAGAGGGCGCTGCACGTTTTTGTGATTGCTTTCACAATTTGCGTTGCACTTTTCAGTTCCACTCCTTTGAAAGAAGTTTCTGAGTGTTTGCAGACAAGTCTCCAGGACGTTTTTGGTGCAACCATTCTAACATGACATTTTTTGCAATCTCGTGCAACCTCTTGCCAACTGTGCAGGAAATATGCACTTCTCCCTAGCAACTGGTGGTTACCAGGGAGTCACTGACCCATCTCTAGAGCTGCGTGAGTGGTGCTGTAGCACCACTCACACAAGCTGCCACCAACCTCCAGGAACAATTTGCAAGCAGGAATACACATTTTTCTCTCATGACCAGAGGTTGCGAGGTGGTTGCAGACCAGTCTGTAGGCGTGTTTGACTGGGGCTTAAAACTGTGTGTTTCATAGAGAGGATGGACACAGAGGCAGCCCAATAAAAGATTAAGAACAGTATTTTTTATATTTAACAGTAAATCATGCAAAGTGTAAAACTACTCTAGTTGAGTTCAAGAATAAAAATAAAGTTAGAAGCTTATCTTACATCCCCCGTTATCCTCGTGTCGTGTTTTTGTGTTTCTGTCTTGAAGGTTTGATTGGTTAATGCAGAGCAAAGTAAAAAGGCTTCAGTGCCAGCAAGAAACAAGATGGTGAAAGGAAAACTTAAATGTTGGTGAGAGGACTGAGAATTGGTTTGAACTACACAGAATATCAAAGATTTATTACCATGAAAGGAGAAAAAATTGAGTGTATATTTGAGAAAAATATTGAAAATCCAACTCTGTGCGTCTGTTTTTTTTGCAACATTGATTTTAGGACATCAAAGTGTCTTTAAAGGCAGTGAAAGCTCCAAAATGAGAGATTCTTTAAGTGTCTCACGTTTTCTAGAAGGTTAGGTTATGTAAGGGTTTGTGCTGTTTAGTATTAGGTTGAGTGAAAGATTATTTCTTAGTTCATAATAACTTCATTAAATCCTCATAGCGTGCTTCTACAAATCAGTACTTAAGTTGTGGAGAATCCTTCATGAGTCGCAGAACTTTTCACTACTTTTGTATTCTGTTCGCCAGATGTTTGGTCGGTGACCAAAGTGACCAAGTCTTTAACTTTAGTGGCCCATGTAGAGAATATCATCCACGGCATTATACCCATTGTGAGCTCTAGGAGCAGTGGGACCACGCCGTGTGGCACCTGGGGGGACCAGCTGTTGCTGAAGGACAGTTTGCAAAAGAATTCTGAAAATAAACTGAGAGTGAATCTTATTACATTTCCCTTAAAAAATAAACCCAAAAACCCGATGCTGTAGCTTACCTGTTGATTGTCATTTTTGTTCCACTTTTTTTATATTTTGTTTCCACCGTGCAGTAACAGCACTCTGGATGTACGTCTGCTGATAGTGGTGTGCATGTGTCAATAGATCGCTCAGACCTGGAAAAGGAAGTGGCAGAACTGCGTGTTCAGCTGTGCAAAGCCTCAGTCCGTGGTGAAGTCGAAGAACTGAAGAGGGCTCTGGACTGTAAAGAGAGGGAGAGGGTCCAGCTCAGCTTACAGTTGAAGGTGTGTGCGAGTCACAGGTGGTTCAAAAAAGAAAGACGGTGCATTTCTCGGGTCGTCTTACTCCAAAGACTAAAGAAGTCTCAGCTGGAGTTCAAACGAACACATCACAAGCATGCTTTTGATTCTGCCCATGCTGCTGTCTCCACCCCGTGCTGAGGTTATGTATGTGGGTCTGTTGCTTCTCCTCCACGGTCGCATCCCCTGCCTGCTCCATACCCCTTGATCCCTTTTATATCGTCAGATGAAGCGACATTTGGAATAGATCAGGAGTCAACAGGCAGTCATTTATCCTTCTCAAACTGGTGCAATGTGTCACTCCCATCACTGAAACAAGATGTAAGAAGAAGAAGGAGGGAAAAAAAGAGTATTGCAATTCCTTGCAAAGTTGGGGCGTTCAAGGCTGCAGTTGGTATCAATAAATTGTTAGTAGAAATAGCTGCACTTCAAGCATTGGCACATTTCTCTAATCTCTGATGTTTCTTTTACTGAAAATGTGTTTAAACACCCACACTTCCCCTATTGCAGAGTAGGTGCTGAGAGAATATGCGGGTGTTTGCATGTATCACCTGGGGCGTCTCGTGCCGTTTTTATGTCTAAATCGAAATAGACGTTGGAAGTGTTTCATTTTTAGTGGTAAATGAGAAAAATGAAGTATAATGAGGAGAATGGGATGGAAGATTCAATTTTTCAGTGGCTGAATTTATATACAGTCTAATAGGTCTATGACTAATCAGTGTATGACTAATTACTCCTAACTGACAGCCTTATTCAGTATAAACGCCTAAACGGCAACAGGGTTACCTTATTTACCCTTGCTTTCCACTTCAAACTTGCAACTTCAAAGAGATTGTGATTTTCTTGTGGATATTACGTTAATCCAGAGCAGCTCTTCTTTTAGATTACTTTTCAGACCAGCGATGTAGATAATCCAATTGTACGTAGCGTGTAAACACCCTCAGCCGCCTCTGACCTCTCTCTGTCTTTGTCTTTTGTCTCTTTCTTAGCTCTGTCATGCCAACCCTTTATTCTTTATCTTTACTCTAAATATATCACACCTTTTTTTCTTTGCTTCTCTCCTCCTTTTTCTTTTTTCCTACCCAGCATAAACCCATTATTCCACTCTCCCTTTTTCCTGCTTCCCCAACCCCCCCTCACACTAGCAATAGTCACTCACTGAAATAATCTAAAATGCAATTCTCTGCTCCACAGAGACACACACCTTGACCTTTCTTTTCTATATATACAAGGAATTATCGTCAGACCTGGCGGTGCGAGAACAACAGCAGCAGCGAATGCTGGAACAGCTGAGGGACATACAGGTCGCTTAAATAATCAACCTTTTATACTGAAGTACACTCACATGATGTTTACCTCTTTATTCTAAGCCACAACTTTATCAGATTTTAATATTAAGATGTGAATAAACTAATCCTGTGGTAATAAGATGCTTGAGATTCTTCTTGTATGGGAATGGTTGCACACGATTTTATATTCTAAAGGATGAATATACATTTTATTCATAAATTCAGTCTTCCTTTCAGAGCCGAGGGCAAGCAGAGAGGAGAGAGACGGAGGCATTACTCCTCGAGAGCACAAGGAGCAGAGATGAATTGAAGACCAGAGCCCAAGAGGCTGTGCGCCAGTGGAGGGCAAAGTGCAGGAGACTGCAGAAGGAGCTGGAGGAGGCGAGGGCTCGGGCTCAACTTCATACTGACAAGGCCTCACAGGTTGGTTGAAGCAGATGCTTTCATAGCAGTTTTTTTGGACACAGCTCACAGAAGCAGCTGATCCTGTTAATGTTGACTTTCAGCGCTGAAATAAAAAGCAAGAATCTTAAAACGTCATTGATTCCAGTGAACTGATCTGCCCTGTCTGTAAAACTACATCTTTGCTCTTTTCAAAATGGGCACTCTGCCAATTTTACACATCAAAATTGGTTTCCTTATCTCAAGCAGCGCTTCGCTCTCCTGATTTGGACTCAGCCGGGGTCTAATGAAAGGTGCTAATGAGTGACATTATGGGAAATGTCAGCGTTAAGAGCTTGACCCGCATTAAGGGCCAGAAAATCTAAATATCTCAGCATCCACTGCATTGATTTTGGCTGTTTTCTTTAATCCACCCACTGTGGGTCGAATAACCTTACGGCTGCAGAGTGCTGAATCACTTGATTGCTTCTGCAAAACAACATTTTTCATGAATCATGTGTGAATGTCCAGCCTAGGTTCATATTAATGTGTTCTTTTAACTCTAAAACCACGTGAGAGGCTTTCATCTTTGCAATGAAACGTGAAAAAAGCGTTGTACGTACAGAATACATTGTACTGTGTACAAGATCGTGCCACCGGTTAGCTTTTAATGTGTATTAGCGCAAGTTAAACCAGGACTGCTAAAACCACTTTGCTCTGTTGGCTCTGGTAGTGCTTTCGGTTTATAATTGATCAAAGTGAGAGCTCTCAGGTGAACCACCAAAGGTTCACTGTGGGAAATCTAGCTGGATCTGGTGGGAAACTGCAGCATAAATTCAGCATTAGTGGCAGTTGTGTCTTAAATGCTCCACCTCCGCCCTCTGCTGCTGCTGCTGCAGGTACAGGCTGTGTTACAGCTGGCACCACTGTTAGCTAGAACCAAGCCTCTTTGTTGCTTTGTCTTAGCAGCAGAGTCTGGCTCACGCACAACTTCTGTGACTTTGTTGGTGTGTTGTGAAAAGTGAAGTGATCAATAATGTCTGTACTAAAATGCAGTTATCAGCTTCAGTAGTGATGCCTCGGGCAGCAGGGAGAAACAAAACTGTAGCTGTGCTGCTCAGTGAGGTCAGGATACGTGGTTGGATGATGGAAGGCTACAGTTACATACATAATACTGGCAACTAATGTGGACGTTATGGACACCACAAAACTAGTAGTTACAGCCTGTCCTGTTTTCCTGATGTTTCATGTTTGTTAGCAACTTTGTGTTTCTAGCTGTGTTGTAAAATGTGTTTATTTTGTTTAAATGTTTGTTGTAACATATTTTGGGAAGTTTGTATTGCAATTAATTAATTAATCTGAGATAATTCTTGTATCTAGATGGACTTTTAAACCAAATATACAGGAGTCAACAAAAAGCACAATCTGAACTCAGAATATAGACAGAACATTACAACAGGAGTATGAAGCCCTGTGAGCCAAAATCCAGCACAAACAGGAAATATTTGTCCAGTTAATGATTTGCATAATGACACAATTCCCACTGTATGATCCATGTGTTACAAAGCCCAGACCCCAGAGGTCATTGAGCACCTGAGGAGCCTGAATATGTAAGTGTTTGTAAAGTGTAAGGTGAGCAAATGTAATCAAGAACATGCTAATGGTGTGATGTTATCAGCTTCCTGTCCCAAATTGCAATTGTAAATCCTCATAAGAGGCTTGATTGTGATAGATGCTGCTTGTAGACAAGAAAACGTGTAACCACCAGACAGTTCATTGGGTATACCTCACCTGGATCCTTTGTTTGTCTTCAGACTCAGCTTAATGCTTCATGGCTACACGATATAGCAGGGTGCTGGAAACATTCCTCACAGATTTTAATGCATCACACAGTTCCTGCAGCTTCTTTTCAGCTGCATTTATTACGTGAATTTTCCGTTCCACCACATCTCAAAGGTGCTCAACTGGATTCACATGTGGCAGCTGTGGAGGCCATTTGAGTACAGTGAACTCACTGTCATGTTCCAGAACCCAGAGATTATTTGAACTTCGTGGCATCTTTGTGAGAGGATCGGTACACTGTGGTCCTAAAGGCACGGACACATTCAGCAACACCACTGAGGCAGGCTGTGGAGTTTAAAGTGGAGTTGATGCTGGTCATTCTCCTCTGACTTCTGGCATCGACAAGCATTTTTGCCCAGAGAACCGCCTCTCGCTGGATATTTTCTCTTTTTTGGGCCATTCTCTATAAACCCTTGAGATGGTTGTGCAAGAAAAATCCCAGCAGATCAGCAGTTACTCAAACTCTCAGACCACAGCTTTGCCACGTTTCAAAGTCCCTTAAATCACCTTTCTCCCCTATTCCCTGACTCGGCTGTGATGACCATGTTTACGTGCCAAAATGCCCCGAGTTTCTGCCATGTGATTGGCTGAGCCACTTCATTGAATGAAGTGAATTTATATAAACCTTTTATTTTTGGGCTCACTAAAGTAGCTTTGCCAAAATACTCCTTATTTACCTTTTACTGGGCCTTGATACAGTGCTTAGTGACATCAAGGAGAAGGAGGAGTAGAAAAAACTGAATGTGAAAGGATGTTAATCGCAGTCTGACACCAGAAATTTGACCTCAGGGATTACAAGTACATCATTTGAAAGTCTGGTGATATTAATATGAGCATCCTCCATTGTAACAATATTTATAAGACAAAGAAATCAGGAAAAGCATAAACATCAGAATCACTGCATCCCTGACTCCTCTCTTTGTTCGTGTTCATTCATCCTTCATTTTGTCTTCGTGTCATAGAGGACGACTTTGTGTCATCGTCCAATTTAAACTTTTGAATAATGCATTTTGAATTCACCCGCCATGACCACAAATAGATTACCGTTGCTTGGTATGTTAAAGTGGTCGTGTTTCGTTAAATAATTAACGCCCGTCTATTGTTATTAGCTTAGACGTCACCCCCCATCGATTCCCATCCCATTCGGACTGAAGGAGTCACCTCCAAACTGGCAGTCAGCACCTTGTGCCTCACAGACAGACAGTCAGACCGACTCCCACCTGGCACACTCGACGTGATGCGAATTAATTACAAAATCATTTTTGCCCTCTTAATGAATTAGGGGAGAGAATCAAGTGCTCAATTAAATGATTAGGCTCTGAGCTGCTGCAAAGTCTCTGCAAATTCCAGTCAAAGCCGGAGTATTAGAAGCAATCTGCCTTGAGCAGACCTGACCATTGTCCCTTATCGAGAAGCTGAGTGCAAGCATTTTCCTATCAGTGCAGGAGCTGGTACTGCATATGTTTCCCCCCGCTCCGTCTCTCTGTCACTCTTTCTCATGCACTCATCATCATTGTCAGAGCTCTTCTTTGGACACCATCTCCCTCCTCTTCTTCATTTGTCATTCTTCATTCATCTTTTTTTTCTCTTCCTCTACCCGGCTCGTTCTCTTTATTGCTCCCGCTCTCTCTCTCCCTCCAGGCAGCCAGGGAAAAGGAAAACTCTCAAGCCCAGCTGAAGGCGCTGAGCCAGCAGACTGAAGCAGCCCGCAGGGAGCTCGCTGAAATCCTAGGCCGCTTGGCCCAACGTGAAGAGGAGCTCCACCGCAAGGACGTGGAGCTGTCGGAGACACACCAGCGCCAGTTGTCACTGCAGCAGGAAATCCGGGAGGTGTGGGGTCCAACACCCAGATAGATTTCTCCTTCTTCATTATTTTAATTACTAGGATTTTAAAATATGCAGCAGTGTTTTCAAATGTCTAGCACTGCAGGGATTTTATTGAAAAATCTCAATCGAGTAATCTGAGTAATTCCTTTTTAATTGCTTATTTGTTTTTTATTTTTCATGTAAAATCCAAAAATCCATATAAGATGTTGCATTAGAGTCATTAAAGAGCTGTGATAAGATCCTAACAGGACTCCCAACCCCAGGTGAGGGAGGCCTCAGCCACCCTCGAGGATGAGACTCGGCGTCAGGCCGCCGTCCGAGCAAGACTGAAAGAAGAGAACCAGAGGCTGCAAGAACAAGCTGACACCCAAGCTCGCCGTTTTCAGAGGGACCAGGACGCACATGCTGAGCTCCAGGCTGCCCTGAAGCAGATGACTGCAGCCCACGCCCAGCTCGCCCAGCGGTTGTCTGAAGAGGAGAACTGCAGGAAGGAGCTCCAAAAGAGCACATCAGAGCTTCAGGCCAAGCTGACAGCGCTACAGGAAGAACGGACTGTGCTCAGCAAGCAGCTGCAGCTCGAGAGAGAGGTGCATCAGAAGGAGCTAGACGGCTTGAAGGCCACAATGGAGGACAGCAATGCAAAGAAGGCTCGTGAAGTGCAGGACATGCTACAGGTCTGCTGTCAGGAGCGAGACGAAACACAGGCACAAATGAGAGAGCTGAAGGTAGCTGTGATCATTAAGATGTTGTACAGCTAATGTGGAAATGGATAGCTTAGTATAATCACCGGTATCAGCAAGAGTGAAAAAATCCAGAGGCATTATTTACACGAGTGTCAGTTAGCTGTGTGGTAACTGTTAACAGCCCAGAAATAATCTGACACATAATCTTCAGGCTTTTTTTGAGGATTAAGCAAAATACAAGAAATACATTATTAAATTTGAACAAAACTATTCTTGCTCTTTTTAGTCTTTGTTCTGGGCTAAGCTGCTCGCTGTAGCTATTTATTCTCCAAATCCAAGAATTCTCTCTTTTTAAATATTCCTCATCAAAGCTAAACTCTAAAAACTGCATCAAATGCTTTTATTTTGTCAAACCTTTTCAGATGTTCAAGGTGTCCCTACCCAGGCATGGATCACAGGGCGCCAAACTTTAATTGGCATTTCTACAAATTCAGTGCAGGGTAACGTACCCCAGCAGCTAAACATCTGGTATATTTCCGACCCAGTGAGACACAGACTAAATTCTCATTTAGCGTAATTTTCTTCATTGGTCGTGACCCTGTCCTCTGAGTACTGGTGAATCGAGGATAGCTGAGCTTTTAATGGTGTGTGGTGCCCTGTGGATCTGTGGGGCCATTCTACAGCTCCAAGCGTGAATATTTAAAAACCCAGATATCAGACCCCCTAAAGTCTCATCAAGGCACTGTTGGAGATAGGAACTTCACTTGACTCGGTCCCACTGCACCCACACCCCCCTCCCACCTTCAGTATCTCCAAAGATGAGCCCTCCCGGGTACATTGTTTCTTAAGGGGCATGGTCCTCCCTGATATGGCTGAGTTTAGCCCATTAGCTGCGCTGAATGGCATTAATATCTGACATAGCTCATTGTAATGGTGCCATTTCCAAGTGCGGTAAGGACAAGGGCGTTTGCTGGAATGTTTTTAAATATGAGCCTACAGGGGCGGCAGATGTCCCTCAGAAGCCCACCCAATATTCACGTATCATAGCCAGAAGCCTGTATTACAGTTATGACACAGTCAACTGTCAGAAATGGCTTAAAATATTCACATTTCCACGTCCTTGTCCTCTTACTCATGATTTCTCCTCCTCTCCCTCTCCCCTGCCTCGCTCTGTCTTAATCGCTCTCCTTCTGCTTCCCTCCATTTAGAATTTATTTGCTTTTAATGTTTTTCCATTTTTTCCTCTGTTTGTGTCACTCCCGGTCCTGAATAATTGTCATTCATTCCACTTTACTGTATCCTGTGTAGTTATTACGTTATTATTATATATAGAAAGCTAAAATCTGAGGCTTGCCTTTGCAAGCTTGAGCAGGACTCGTTATTCGTTCTCTTGACCTGTTACTTGATGTTCTCTGGCTTTGCAGCACATAATGTCACGTTGTATTGTGAAATCAGCTTTTACTTGCAAGAACTGACTTAAGATGTTTGGATCCACTGATAAATTTGGCGCATAAATTAAATCTGGGTTCAAATCAGTGACATGAGAACTTGTATCTGTTCTGTTTACTCATGGTATTCCCAGAACTGCCACCTGTTTAGTGTTGATAATTTTTTACCCCGGATAAACCGCCCGTGTTTATGATCTCGAAATATTACCTGTGTATCATGGCATTAAAAACATCCACTCTCTTCTAGGCAGATGCAGCGTCAGACAAAGAGCTGTGTGGGGCGCTGCGCATCAAGTTGGACAGGATGAAGGATGAATGTGATAAGCTGGCAGCACAGCTGAGCACAAAAGAGGAGGCGCATGCACTTCTCCACAGAAAATACCAGCTACTCAAACAGGAAGTGGAAGACAAAGTAAGCCTGGCTTCTTTGGGCGTGCTTTTTCCAAATTCTTCGGTTAATATTACGGGCCAGTTGTTAATATATGTGTGTGTCTGTGCAGATGTTACGTTTTAGGAATATATGATATTTGTTGCTTGATAGAAACACAAGACATTTGGCTATGAGCAAGCAGTCAGCGACTGCATGACAGAAACTGGTTGCTGTTGCAGTTAGGTCCATATGTTTCTGGACACTGACAGGATTTAACCTCTGTACACCACCACAGTGGATTTTAAATCAAATATGACTCAGGTGCAGCCTTTCACCTTTGGTTCACAGGGTTTAACAAAATTATTGCATTAACTGTTTAGAAATGGGATTATTTTCTACATGTCGGCGCTCTCACTCTCAGCAGAGATCATCATCATCAGCACTTTTCCCCAAGAATTGGTGACTTTTTATAACCTTTTTCGCAAGATTCTTCCCCAAAAAGTGGCTGCAGGGAATATCTATAGACAGTACTGTTATCTATAGACGGAGCCCTTACACCCATTGCTCTCCAGCAGCGATAATAACGCTTAAAAGTATAACTCAGTGCTGCAACATTTCATTCCCTTTTTCGTGATTCTTTTTCAAATTCCCAACTGTGGGAATTCTTGCTTTAGCTCAGAGTGAGGCACACCTTCCAGCAGCACTGAGGCTGAGTTCAGTTTGTGAGAGAGACACTGTGCTGCTTCTAACTTTCCCGCTGAGCGATTTCAATCCAGCTGTTTAACCTGTGTGTATCATTTAGTCAGATGGTAAAATCTGAGCCCATCAGGCTTCGACTTTCCACTGTTCAGAAGGTGTTCAGGACAGATAATCCAAACATAAGAAGAGTTCCAGGGGTTAAGTGGTGCCAAATCAGCACTATTTTAAAGAGTCTTTATCAATATGTCCTTAGTGGCTTCACAACAGCTGATGAAGTATTGAATCCCAATTCACCTCTTTGACAGGACCCTGATAAGTTGCATGGGTCTTTTTCACAGGAACCATTTATTGATTTGAAATCGTCTGCATGCAGAAAAAGGGCTCTTATTAATGTAACATGGGCAGTTTATTATCTCAGGGACAGGGTAATGATCCATGTTCCCAGGGCAGAACTGATCACTTGGTTTCCATCCTTGAATGTATTGATTGACTGTGTCCTGGTAGAGACCCTGAAACTACTGTAGCTAAAGAAACGTAGTATCTGCTTTTTGAGAGGAAACTGAACAAGTCTCTGATGCCCACGGTTTTTTGTTAGTCTGAATGTGTTTATTGAGGAAAACCAGAACATCTGACAATAATCTTGTAACAGGTGACATAAATGTCATTTATGCTACGAAAGAAGAAAAAAAGTTCTTATCAGTGTCTTTTAAACTACAATGGCATGAATTGAAACACCTGCTAATTTGCAGCACCTCTACTCCGCTCGGCTGTCTGCCGTTCTCCACAGGTCAGGTCAGCCGAGCGGAGACGTGTTTCGGAGTCGGAACTTGTTAAGTTGGAGCAGAAGGTGTTGGAAATGGAATCGGAGCAAGAGGCAGTCCTTACATCTTTGGGCGAGGAACTAGACGCAGCCTGTCGCAGCCTGGCTAGGAACGGCGAAGACAAGCTCCAGGTATTTCCTGCCTATTACATTTTGTTTGTGTTTTGAATGGTGTTGAATACTGTCAGCTTGCTTTTATACATTCACAGCACATTTGACAAGCACGGATCATTTTCTAAGTAACAATCTAGTCCTGCCAGTCCACATACTCTGGAGAAACGTGTATAGTCCTTCCGGTCGTTGCTGCACTAGATGCAAACTTAAACAGTCTCTTGTTAGGTTTGCCTCTCTTGTCGGTTCATGCTGGACAGTGTGTGGCAAGAGTAGGTCTCTACAGGCTGGAGTGTTAGTGACAGCAGCAGTCTTGTTTTGTCCCACTGTTTGCTCAGTTGTTGTTAACTGTCAGAATAATAACATTGACTTGTGCTGAAGAGACCTGTTCTTGTATTGTGATTTTGCATAAGGCTGTCTTCTGTTTATTTGCCAGTGGCAAGAATAACAACTATTTTGAGAACCTTGGAAAGTATTTTACAGTTGGTTACAAGTTTTACCTGATAAGCTTGTGTGTGTGTGTGTGTTGTTGTGCTTATATAAATGTTGCATGTGTGTGTTACCAGAGACAGAAAGTCCAAAGGAAATACTCGTTATGACTCATCTGTTCTATGTCCAAAAATCCATGATGAACAGACACACATGAAAAAAAAACATGAAAATCAAGCTCAGACTTTCTTTAACATCACAGAAAGTGCAAAAGATCAAGTTTGCATGTCTTTCATGTTTTTCTACAATGTCCCATCTATTTCAGATGGAAACGTTTCTAAAGCAAATATTTAGCGTAACGTCTGTGACAGGTCAGGTTGACAAGGCTCATTAATAACAACTACGACTGTAGTCTGACAAAGTAAAGGAGCTGAGAAGAGGTTCTGCACAGTGAGACAGGAAATGAAAATGGGGAGAAAAATAGTAGTAGTGAGTGTTGTGGCTCATTGTGTAAATGTGAGCATCTTTGAATGAAGTCTTGAGGAAAATGAATATAAAAGTGAACTGTGTCATTGCCTTTTAACAGACTGAAGCATCCACGTTCCATACCCCATATCTTATTTGATCTATTTATTTATCACCCACCTGTACATAACCATGCACTTATAAATCTGCTTATTAGACTGTAAAGCCTCCACACTACCTACTGAGTGTATTCTTTAACCCCCCACCCCACCCCCACCACCCACTTCGCTTAAAGCTAGTTTTCCTCTGCTGCTCCAGGCTAATGAACCCTGGCTGCTCTTATCTGCTCTTATAGATTTCTCCAGCTGGTCCTGCAGTGCTGCAGTCAAACATGCGAGCCAACACCTTTCCTCCTCTGTAATCCATGATGCCGAAAGAAGTCAATTTATAGCGATCGGGCTAATGGGGGGATCATTAACGGTTAAAGGGTGGATTAAGTTTCAGCTACCTTATGATACCCTCCTTCCTTCCTTGATTTTAAAAGCACTAAGAAGCAGGAAGTTTGAATGTGGTGTAAAGATATTTAAAGTCCAAGAAAAAACAAACTTTGCTGAATACAACTTTAATTGTAAGACGAGTCAGGTGATATTTTTATGCCAAAATGACTCATATATGGCTTTTCTACTGTATTTGAGCACTGAAAGCAGCTTTATGCAAAATGTCTCATTCACCTCTTCATGGTGCTTTGGACACATTAATCAACTAACAAGAATTTAGTGGACAGGTTACGGTTACGGTCAGTGAGACCTCACAAAAGGTTTCAACTGTAAACGTTAACAGGTTGTAGCCAAAAGGTTTAAGGGCTGCAAGAGTTGAGGCTCGGGTGTGAAATTCATGGTATTCAACGGTTTTATCGGTTTTTATCGTTATTTTTTAACCGTTTTTATCGTTAACTTGGTTTCCCTGGGTCTTTTCCCGTGTGTTATGAATAAATCTTCTCTTTTTTGGTACCGGTACTAGTTTTATTCTGTTGTGTTTATCCGCGACACCTTAAAGGCCGGTCCATGAAAATATTGTCGGTTCGTAGCGCAAAAACTGTTGGGGGGCCGCTGAAGTAACAGACAAATATAATATTTCAGTTTCACTCACCAGGACTGCAGGAAAGAATTCCTTGGATGACACGTCATGTTTGTTGTTAGATAATTCCATTAAAACCAATTGAAAAAGGCACCAGCACCACCAACATGCCTGAGAGCTCCAGTTCAGCGACTTGAACTGTTTGAGGTGACAGATGATGGCAAACATGTGGCACGCCTGTCAAAGTCAAGCCAGTAACTGAGACCTGAGCTGGTATCCTTGTGACCTGTGTGCATAAAGGCCCCGTCTGTAAACATGTCTCTGATTGCTAGTTGGACGTCTGTGGGATTGTCTCTGTGGCCACCAGAACTGCGTCTTTTTGGCACTTCCACATAGGCATAATATTTTCTTCTTCTCTTTAGTCTCATAATTTACCACAGCATGGCAACACAGTCATTTTGGTTCTTTTCCTTAAACGCTAACCTTGTGAGTCATCTCCTTTTATAATAAACCCCTGTGTGTCTTGTCTTTCAATTGTGGTTTATTTTATGCTCCCACTCTTCTGTTTTGGGCTGAGCTGCATCAAAGATCTGTGTTTAAATCCAACTCGAGACATCTGTCGTTATTTTTTTCTCTCCCTTCCATCTTCTCTCCTCGTCTTTTCATAAACTGTTTAATGAAGAGTAATGCTGGTAATCTCTATGAAAACATCTCTCTGTGTCCTCTCCATTTGCTGTTGGTCTTAACGTCTCTGTCTTTTTGCTTCTCGAAATTCTTCCCAGCTTTTCCGTCGTCACAGTGGGAGGCGCAGCAAACACACTGTAACCAAAGACGCACAGCCACACATTTATTCGCGTTGTGAGAGAGATGTAAACCGGGTAGTCACACATTTAAATTAGCGGTGGCAGATGCTTGGAATCCGCTGCTGTGCTGCTGTGAGGAATAGTGGTGTTTCTTTCACTTCAGGCCTTTCACAGCACTTTCAACTCCCAGCCTACTTGTTCAGTTTTTCAACAGTTTCACCTCCTTTTTGTCTGCTACTCTGCCGTGTGGCCTTTGATGTTTTTGAAAAAAGTAAAGAGAGCGTGAGCGAGAAGCGCAGAGGCATGTTTTATCCTCCCACACAGTCACATGCTCTGGTGTATGGCTGTACGCTCCCTGAGACGGGGACCTCTGCACAGCGGTGCTCTGTTGCCGTACTTTGAGCTGCCGTGGCAACAACTTGGGAGATGCGTTTTTGTTTGTATCTGGTTTTGAGTGGCAGCTTGAAAACGCTGCCTGACACCTGCGCGGTGACGACGTTGCTCGCCAAGGCGCAGGACAGAAAGGGTCCAAAAACTCCTGCTGTGTGTTTTCCATGTCTGTTGATCATGTGTAAACACCTTGCCACAAGGGTGTACTTGAAAAAGGGTTCTGCTTTTGTCTACTTTGTTCATTGCTGTGTGTGAGTTCGTCCATGTGAATTCATGTTTGTTATATCTGCTGGCTTTCTTTTTTTTCCTCGGTAGGTGGCAGGAGGGGGTATGGTTTCACGTTGTTAGCAGGGTGGGTGGGTAAGTCTCTATAAACACGCTCAAAAAGCTATTTGAAAAGGTTTGTCAAGGAGAGTGGGGTGGGGTGGGGTGGGGTTTTGTTTTGTTTTTTGGCTTTTTTTGTTTTTACCTTTATAAAATCCATTGGAGTGTGTTATCACTCTACCAGTCATGAAACGTCTAAAGAAATGTTTTTGTGCCATCAGAAGGCACAGGACGGCTTTTCTGTTTTGGATGAAGGGAAAACCCCAGTTTTCCAAAACGTGGTACTGCAGCTTTCACGGCCATTGGAGCCTAAAAAGCTTGTGATCATAATCTAAAACTATAGTTCCTGTTTTAAATGAATGGGCACTTATTGACAGAATGCATTTCCCTATTTTCACTGTCTGTGTGTGTGTGGGGGACTGTTAGTAATTAATATGGTCATCTCAAGCACCGGCTCGGGCTATAAGCACAGAAGCCCCACCCCCTTGCTGTGAGACCCTCTGTTTGTATGGGCCAGCCAATCAGAGGAAGGAGAGGACAGCCATTTTTTTTCCGGGGAAACAAACAACAAACACTCTGGGAGGCAGCTCATTCTATAGACAGTGCTTATTTTTAAGGGAATATTATTGTATTATGTGTATATTCATTTTGTTTTCTTCTGTTTTTAAAATGCTTTTACTACTAAGAAGTCTGTGAGTCTGCAGTAATAAAGGTAGCAATGGCAGCTGTTGAGAAATGATGACTCAAACATTATGTAGGAGTAAAAGGTATTTCAACATGATTAACTTTAACTTGTTCTAATATCATCCTATAGTATATTTGGCTACAAAGTTTTATTAGGATTCATTCAAAACGTTTTGAGCGATTGTGTTTATAAACAGATGACGTGCACACAAATGCTGCCAGAAACATCCTTAGCAGAGGTAAAAATGCATGTAAAGTTACTCTTAGTGCAGGCTAAAGGCTGCAGCTGGTGCAGGGATTTTAATACAGTTTTGTGAATGATTGTCTTAGGATGAATTGTGGAATGTACAGACTTTGAAATGTAGAAATTAAAAATAACAGTTGTTTTGTTTTATTAGTTTTTGTTATTTGTTGCTATTTGTTTCCAAGGAAACAAAGGAATTGTAATTCCTTAAAAACAACAACAACTTAACACTATCTGTGAAGAAAGTAGCAGCAGCGCAATATTGATGAAACACAAGTGATAAATGTTGGCCGATACTGATGTCGAGCTGGTAATACCTTAATGGACTGTGTTAGCCTCAGTGAGCTCTTCATCTATTTGGCTTTTTTTAAGCTTTACTTTGATGACTTTTATAACCTGCAGCATCGGACTCTGTTTTATGTTGTATTTAATGCTAAATAGCAAAGGATGAAAGGCTAACCAAAGATGTCGAACACTGTAAACATGCTGCAGTGTTTATAACCGTACTAGAATACTGATGTTATCTTTTATCTTCAAGCACCACTGTGCTTAAGTACTAACCTTGTTTTTGCTCCCGATTAGCCATCAGCAGAGACAGGAGAGACAAATCCCCATTAACAGCCAAATAAGAAAAAGCAAAGTTGAATTTGGCGTGAACCTAAAGCGGCCACGAGGTTAAGAATTGTGTCACATGACCACATCATCTTTTGGTTCTCTGTCATGAGTGTGTTATTCTTCCTTTATGCGAGCTTACTCTCCATGCTAACAACACCAGTAGCTAACAAAAAAAAAGGGGGGGGGGGTTATGCATTGTGAAACATATCGCTGTGTTTGAAATGCAACCCCAGTGGCTATTAAAGACATATCGATCATATTCTATACATAGAAATGCAGAAACTTAAATGTGGCTCAGCACAGCCAAATCTAATTAGCATGCACATGAAGTCACCACCTCATGTGTAACAAAGAGATAAAGAAGCATGAGAGGGATTATTAATCTTTGCTGACAACTCCACATGTGCAGCTGGCACATTTCAGCAGCTGCATAGCACTTGGCAGAGGTGTGCTCTCAACTGAGTGTCGTCTAGTTATGTGACTGCGTTTATCTGTGTCTATCTTTTTGCCTTAAGAGTGTGTGTGTGTGTGTGTGTGTGTGTGTGTGTGCGTGCGTGCGTGCGTGCGGGTGGTGTGGCGGTGCGTGCGTGTGTGTGTGTGTGTGTGTGTGTGTGTGTGTGTGTGTCAGCAGTCATTAGGACTTGGCAGGCAGTCAGTTTGTATTGCTGATGCTGACAAGCTTGTCTGGGAAAGATTGGAACATACTCCCTGAGCTCGTTTTTATGACACGCACTAACTCTGTGTGTGTGTGTGTGTGTGTGTGTGTGTGTTGTGTCATAGCTGTTTAACATGCGCACGCCAATTTAAGTTGGCAGAGGCCCCTCTTCACTAAAGTTAAGAGTTTTGACAGGAGGCTGTTCGATCTGGTTCCTGTCCTCTTGTTTGTCCATCTGCATTTCGATTCATTTGCTGTCTATCCAACTTAACTTCGCCTTGTGCTACAGCATATACACGTAACAGCAACAGGACAGTTTGCTTTTGTATTTATTTGCTTGTTTTTGTAATTTTCTAACAGGCAATTTCTCAGAGACCTGAACTGGTGAAGGACTCGCACCGCTGGCTGGCTGAGACTAAGGTTTGATTCAGCTTTTGTCCCTGGAGAGAACCATTCTTACACACACAAATAATACAGTCAAGACATAGTGAAGATTTTTGTTTTAACAAGGGATTATATACAATATTAACATAAGGGTTTGCCAGAGTTGGCTTAAAACTAATTTGCATCTGCAGTTCTTTGCCAGGTTACATGGCGAAGATCATAAACGTAAATTACAAAACAAACAAAGCGTCCGCACACCTATGAGAAAATAGACATCAGTGTTCATATTCTGTGAGTTTTTAAAGCTGGTGATAGAGCTGCAGTTCTTAATGAAAAAGAAAGCAGAGGGATGAAAACGTGCAGCGCAGTCTTAAGTTGAAGATAACCTTGTAGATTTGACAGATTCTGCTGTGCGAAAGTTTAAAAAATGAGGCGGTGGAGGAGCTGCCAGACCGTTTAAGATCTTTAATACCAAACACATCTCGGAAAATGATTTCATATTTTTCAGACTCATTAAATGACGTCTCGCCAGACTTTTTTGTCCAGTTTTTTTAAGGTTTTTTTTTTATAAAGAGACTCCTGTGCTTTAGTGACTGTTTCCTCAGTTTGTCCCCAACATGCTAAACAACATGAAATATGAGCAAGATGGAAAGTGTGAGCAGCATGCAGTCAGAGGCAGCCTGTAGTTATCTGGCTTTACCTCATTTGACAGAAACGTGTGCATTTTCTCAATAAGTTGCTAAGAGTTCTGAACAACAATGGTTGAGTAGTTAAAACCTCAATTACCAAAACTGCACGAAGTCTTTCATGTCTGGATAAAACTGCTTTAAGCGATGCCAAAAATGTCTTCATGCCAGGAAAGCCCTCCACCATAGATGTGGAGATATATTTGTGCAAACATTTACTGTGGTAAAAACTTCTCAGAAAACTATGACGCTTCATTGTTGAACTATTTTGCTGTGCACCAATGTGTGCTTAGAGTTTGTAATAAATGTCAGTGTCATTCGAATGTCAATGAAAGTCAGATAAGAGTTGAGATTTACCAGGTTCCCCAACGATAGCTGTAAATTAAACTTCTCACAGACGTGCAGCCATATCTTGTTATCATCGGTGCTTTTATATCAGTTATCAGTTTCCATGATGTTCTCGCGGGGCTCATGCGACAGAGGAGATGCTCGCTGTCGTCCTCTGCCCTTTTAGCTGCCACCTGCCTTTCTCCGAGACAAATCAATCCCCGTTTATTGTTGTAAACTTTCAAAAGAAATGTGTAATTAAAGCTGTGGCTGTGATGCATGATACCGTGTTAAAATTTGTTTGCACAATTTGTAGTGTTTATCACTGTAATGTATCTCCTGTCAGAAATTCTCTCAGAGTAATGTGCATTTACAAGAGTAAAACGCTGGAGAACAAGGGAGGTAATTAGCTCCCTTGTTAAGAGTTTTTATGGTAGTATAATGTAGGTATGATTTACAGGCTTACAGTGCACAGTTGGAATAACAATTGAACCAGTCATTTGGCTCTGCTGTGGAAGCCTGTTGTAGGAAACAGTAAATTTACACTGCTGTGCTCATTTTGTGTGGTTTGGTTTTTTTTCTGACGTGACTTTACAACCTGGGTCTGGATTCAGCTAAAAGACAAAAATGAAAAAATAATAATGTTGAGATTTGAGCTGTAAACTGGCAGCTTAGACAGGAAAACGCCTTTGAAAGTAATGAAAAATTAAGTTGAAATGATTTGGCTGCACAGGGAAAATAAGGATCAGGAAGTTTTGTCCTCTTAATTAAACTCCTGCTTAGGGTTGCAAAATTCCCGGAATTTTCAAAGATGGAATCTTTCCATGGGAATTAACGGGAATTAACGGGAATTTATGGGAATTAACGGGAATTAACGGGAATTTATGGGAATAAAGTGGGAATTTTCAAAATTGAAGGTTGGCTCTTCTTAGGGAACTTAAATATAGTTGAGGAAAGTATATTTTAGCATAATATTGACAAAAACAAACAAATGCAATTCAAATACACTTGAATATCCATGCCATTCCTTAATCACATGTACAGAGCACAAGCTTGCTGCATGGCTATTGAGACCACCTACTGGCACTGTGCATGCCTCCATCACATGTACACATGGACCACACTTTTGAGCCTGAAGGACAAAGAGTATTAAAGGCACACATTTGAGCCTGTGGACTTAACAAGTGAGGTAAGTTTTGATGATATTATGGGAAAATATATTCATTAAATGTTTAAATTGTGAATATCACATAAAATGTATTAATCTGGTAGATAGCAATCTGATAAGATGCTAAATAAAATGCTAGCATCTGATAAGATGCTAAATAAAATGCTAGCATCTGTTAGATGCTAAATAAAATGCTAGCATCTGTTAGATGCTAAATAAGCCATAGCTAGTATAACATAAAGAAGATGCTAGCTTCCTCATTTGGTTGTTTTGTTTTGAAGATCATTCCAGTTGTTTAGCTAGCCTTACTATTTATATCTGTTTATTATCATATTGCAATTGTATTATTACAATCTCTTGCATTGCATTAGCATTTTTACAAGCTCTTGTTTTATTTTACAGAAAAATGCCACGTGCGCTATCTGATGTGTGGAGACATTTTACACCAGCTAATGTGCAAGGGAAACCTGTATATATGTGTAAATATTGTGATAAGACGTACGTGAAGAATGCCACAAAAATGCAGCAGCACATTGCAAAGTGCAAAAAAATTCCTCAAGGCCCAACACATGCAGCAGCCAGGAGTTCCACTCAAGGGGAAAATGAATCTGTTTCAGCTGTATCAGAGTCAGATACCCACTCATCAGCTCCTGGTCCCTCTGGCATCAGAGGATTCTTTGATTTTATGGATGACACTAGCCAGAAAAACGCAGATGAGTGTTTCGCTCGTGCAATCTATGCAACTGGCTCACCCCTGATGCTGACATCCAATGTGTACTGGAAGAGATTTTTGAATGTTCTCCGACCAGCATACATTCCCCAACCAGACATGCATTGTCTACTCATCTACTGGATGAAGAGTTCAGTCGAGTTCAAGCAAAGGTGAAACAGACCATTGACCAAGCTGACTGTATTTCAGTCATCTCTGATGGATGGTCCAATATCAGGGGACAAGGAATTATTAACTACATAATCACCACTCCTCAGCCTGTGTTCTACAAGAGTGTAGACACAAAGGAAAACAGACACACAGGCCAATACATTGCAGATGAGCTAAAAGTGATCATCAATGACCTTGGACCAGATAAGGTTTTTGCACTGGTCACTGACAATGCAGCCAACATGAAGGTTGCCTGGGCACATGTGGAGGAGACCTACCCTCATATAACTACTATTGGCTGTGCAGCCCATATACTAAACCTTCTCCTAAAAGACATAATGGCACTAAAAACAATGGACACTCTGAATAAGAGAGTGAAGCAAGTTCTGAAATATGTTAAAGGCAAACAAGTAACTTCCGCTACATTTCTGTCAAAGCAAAAGGAAAAGAACAAGAGTACTACACTGAAGCTTCCCAGCATAACGCGATGGGGTGGTGTTGTTATCATGTTTGACAGCCTTCTGGAGGGAAAGGAGTCTCTGCAAGAGATGGCCATATCCCAGTCTGTAGGCATCGACAGTGACATCAAGAAGGTCATCTTGGATGATGTGTTCTGGGAAAGAGTATCTAGCAGTCAGAAAATCCTCAAACCTATTGCAGCAGCAATAGCGAAGATAGAGGGGGATGGTGCCATCTTGTCAGATGTCCAGTGCCTTTTTGCAGAACTCAAAGAAGAAATCCAGACAATTCTGCCCACTTCCCTACTACTGAAAGCAGAGGAAACGGCTGTGGTCAAGTCATTGGAATAGCGGAGGGAGTTCTGCATGAAGCCAGTGCATGCAGCAGCATACATGCTGGACCCCAAATATGACAAGGGCATACTTTCCGGGGAAGAGATCAACGGTGCCTATGCGGTCATTACAGCCATGTCTGACCACCTGGGTCTCGATAAAGGCAAAGTTCTAGGCAGTTTGGCAAAGTATCGAACAAAGCAAGGCCTTTGGAAAGGGGATGGAATATGGCAGTCATGCCAGCACATATCTGCAGCCACCTGGTGGAAGGGACTATGTGAATCTGAGGCCCTTGCACCTGTAGCCTCCATCCTCCTCCAAATCCCACCATCATCAGCCGCCTCCGAGCGCAACTGGTCACTGTTTGGGAACACCCACACAAAGGTTCGCAACAGGCTCACAAATGTGAGAGTGGAAAAGCTGGTCGGCATTCGGGCAAACCTACGGCTCTTTGAGCCTGACACAGAGCCATCCTCAACAAAGCTGGAAAGTGACACTGAAGAGGAAGACTCAGAGTTGGATGCTGAGGAAGTGGACATGTTGTTGGATGATGATGAGGTCCAGGAAGAGTCTATTGACTGAGCAAAAATGAGAAAAGAGGATTGCTTGAAGGAAGATTTGAATGTTTAATGGGACGTTTTGGAGGATAAGTGGCATTTTTCATTTAACCTTTTGAATGGGACTTTGTGGAGATTTTTGGACAGGGGGCATTTTTGAATGAGCGGGGTTAGGGGATGGTAATATTGAACTCAACATTTCTGTTTTTATTCATCCATGAAACAAGTTATTGAAACGTGTTCTATTCTACTGTACTTACAAATAAATCTGTTTAAATATCTGTTGAAAACATTTTGCATGGAGGTTTTCTTATGATTTCTGTTTATATTTATGCTTGGAAATAATATATTCCCAGTTAGTTCTCCTAAATTCCCATTATTTCCATGGACAGTTTCCAATATGGAATATTTCCAAAATTCCCAAGCTTAACTTACCATGGAAATTTACCGGAAACTTTTCGGAAATTTACCGGAAATTTTCCGCCCCTTTGCAACCCTACTCCTGCTCAGTGTCCTTTGCATTGATTGGCGTGCAGGATTCTATGTTAGAAAACCCAGAAAATCCCTTGTCATGTTCCAACTTGTGTATTAAATGTAGTGTGTCATGGTGGGGCCTGAGGCTGGCTGGCCTGATCCCCTCCACAGTTTTCAGACTAACTACAACAATGTTTGTATTTATTAAACCAACCAGACCAAGCTGCGCTGGCTGTGTGAGGAGGTGCGTGAGCGCGACACTAGAGAACAGCGCCTGAGGAGGCAACATCAGCAGACCAAGGATCAGTTGAAGGCCCTCAGGCAAAGCCGCGACTCAGAGCAGAGAGCTCTCCTGCAGCGCCTGGACCAACAGGAGAAGCTGATGCACTCTCTCAGCACTGAAAGAAAGGTAGAATCTAATTGGAGAAACGCCTTCATGTTGATTTCACTCACACTCGGGATGCCCCTGCACAGCATCAGGCGACACAAATCACAGTCATTCTGCCTGTAAAGGCAGCTAGCAGCTGTTAGAGTGCACAGGATGAGAAGTCCTTTAGTTCTCCATGCTCTCAGCATTCACGAGGGTGAGAAGTTGTACTTATCACAGCCAGCTCTCCATGAAAGTCTCCTCTCTCTCTAATGGTTCCTTTTGATTAACACAGCTGTCAGACTCCAATCTCCCGTTTTCATCCTCTCACATTTACATGTAATCACACCATCATTAAGAAAGTCATTCAGTGCAGGCGTGTGACAGAAGTGTTTTTGTTGCTCACTGTTTGTTGTGTTTTGCTGTAATGGATGCTGGTGAAAATGACTGTGTGTGTGCCTGAATCATTGTTTTTTGTTTGTTACGATGGGTCTGACTGTTTGTAGTTGCAGATGTTTGAGAAAGAATCTTAATGGTTTGTGAACTTTGAGCCTCGCGTGGAAAGATGACTTGTTTTTCCCAATGTGAGCCCCATTTTTGACTGAATTTCTCTTAATGAGCTGTAACTGGCAGAGGAAGAGAAGCTTGTTTTCAGCGCTTCGTCTGAACAATACGGGGAAATGAACCTAATTTGTGTTCCATTACCAGAGATCTAAAAGACACAGGGGGACTGGAGACAGCTGGATAGCTGGCTATGGTCAAGGAGATGGAAACAGAGCTAGCTATCTGTTTACATTTTTCTTTTCTTTCGAGTAAAGTGATTGGACAATTCAGTTAATGATACACGCGCAAGATCATTTCGATCACCTTTGGAATCAGCTCCTCCCGTCTCTGGATCAGCAGTTTGAGTCTGCACTGCAGGCAGGAGC